ACTTCCAATTGTTGTTAGACTGCAATGTAAGTTATTAACTCATCTCTCCCTCCCTCCCTCTCTCACTCTCTCCCTCTCTCACCTCTCTCGTTGTGTAGGCGGATAAGTCCAAGAGCACGAAGTCGTCTCCGAACAAGCAAGATGGTGATGATACCACATCTCTTGCTAGCAATGATGAACAGCATGCTTGGCAGGTAAGTCATGCAAGCAGTGTGTGTGCTGGTTTGCTTGCTTTCCTGCTCTTCTCCTTGGTTGTCTTGTACGCATGCACTGAACTGACCAGTGCAGTGTACTGTGAACTTCGAATTATACCTTTCGTGTGTGTGTGTGTGTATGTGTGCGTGTATTTGTCACGTGTGTCTGTCTGTCCTGTCTGTGGTGCTGTCTGTCTGTCTGTCCGTCTGCACTCGTTGGTGTGCTTTTCAGAATGTCAGCGGGAAAAAACCGCCGTCTTCTCATTCACCGCACATTCCAGGAGAATGACAAACTGTTTGTGCGCACGGAGATTGTCACACACCCAGAGGTCATTGAGGCTTATCTTCGTGTTGCCGGCAAGAAGGACAAGTAAGCTGTTTGTATGCGCAGGGTTACTCATGCTGGTTCTTCTAGCATGCTTTCATGCCGGTGGCAGACGCTGCTGTTGTTACTGCTGCTGCTGCTGCTGGTTGTGGTGGTGGTGGTGGTGCTGCTGCTGCTGCTGCTGTTGCTACTGCTGTTGTTACTGCTGGTGTTGCTGCTGCTGCCACTGCTTCTGCCGCTGCATCTGTTTGTTTATTGTGATGGTTCACTAGTGGTGATGTTCTGGCGCAGGCAAGAGTGTCTGAAAGGTTGCCTGTGCTGTGCACACCTGATCTTTCGAAGTGTGCAAGCTTCCAGGTGCACTATCTGTATGTGACGAGGGGATCTGATTTAAGTATTTTTTTTAAACTTCTGTTGCTACTGTTCATTTTGTGTGTCTGTCTGCCTGTCTGCCTGCCTGTGTGTCTATGTGTCTCTGTCTGTCTGTCTGTCTGTATGTATGTATGTATGTATGTATGTATGTATGTATGTGTGTATGTGTATGTGCATGTGTGTGTGTAGGGCTGTCTACGCAGAGCATGATGAACACACGAGGGAAGCGATGCGGAGAGAAAAGCGCAGGTAGGAACTAGCCCCACTCCTCGCCCAACATGCACACCCCGTGATACAACCTCACCTACACAAACACTCCGGTTGCTGGCTGGCAGTTGTTGGTACCCCCCCCCCCCCCCCGAATGTTTGATAGTGCATGCGCTATATTTCTGTAGACGTGTCAAGATTATTCTGGTACCATGAGAGGTAATGGATGTGTTGCCTTGTGCACAAGTTTTCTCTATGTATGGGCACGCTACCACCCCTTTCTGGCGTTTGTCTCCTGCTTTTCGCTTCCGATGCGGATTACCAGCATTGGCTCCGTTAACCTGGATATCCTCTTTGCTGGCATGGCCATCACTAATCCCAATGTTGTCTGCCGATCACACTGTGTGCATGACATCTAGAGTAACGTCAGCAAAATGGCCTATTGTGAACTATCTTGTTATGACAGTCAGTGTGATACGACTTTTCTAGTGCAGTCCACTTCCTTGTGCGTGTACTTACCTGCCTGAGTGAGTTTGTTTTGTTTAGTCTGGTGTTAGTGAGGCATTGCTCCCCCCTCCCCCCACCATTCTCTCACTAATTGTGTGTCTGTGTGTTTGTTTGTCCCTCTATTTCTCTCTTTCTCTCTCTCTCTCCTCTCCTCTCTCTCTCTCTCTCCCACCCTGTCTCTGCCTTCACTTGTCTGCATGTATCTAGGATTCAAGAGCAGCTGCGACGTATTAAGCGCAATGAGGAGAAGGAACGTGCCCGTGCGGAGCGCCGCAGGAAGAAAATGGAGGAGAAGGAGCTTAACCCCAACCTTGCAAAGGTACAGTCCACCCACCACTGTAGTATACAATTATACATGTTGTGCATCAATAACTGGCCTTTATGGTCAGGTGATTTTTCTGCACAGCTGTTGTAAGCTACAGACGGTAAACGGTAATAGCTTCCCATGGTCAATTCTGACGGGGGGGGGGGGGGGGGGTTACAGACCCCCAGGAGTGTTCCAATGTGCTAGACAGTGAGCGCAGTGCTCATCTTGTAGGCCCGGCGGAACTGGTCCGGTTGGTCAGACCATGGCTGGACCAACTATTTGGCCACTACAGTGTGTTTACTACTGAGGAGGTCATATACCCTACATATCATACACAAACTGTATGTAACTTGGCTAGGGTATGGCCGGACCAGTCAAAAACTGCTTCCGACCGTCCTGTTGTGGACATAGCATACTAATGAGGGTGGTGCTCGAGTCTTTTTTTCTTTTCTTTTTTAAGTTTAAAGCACACGATCCTACTGATGATGTGAGGTAACAGTAAAGTGGGACAGAAGACTAGGACAAACAGACAAAATGGGTAGGACATGCAAAAGCAAGGTGCAGGTGAGTCCAGCTAGTCCGACCAGAGGTCTCGGAGGCAGCACTGGATGCGTCTTCTCCCTCATCGCCAGTAGACCCTGGTCAAGATCCGATAGTGATCCAGGCGATGACTTGGATGTCACTTTGGATGTCAGTAAAGCATGTCGGTAGCAGTGGTGAGACTTCTTGCAGCTTCATTCATAGGAAGTGGAGTTAGAGCAGACCCGTTCTTACCCATTCACTCTGCAACCTTATCAAACTCGTTTATCAATCTATTCTTACAACGTCAAGTATGTGTTTGTCCATTCGTGTGTGTGTGTGTGTGTGTTCTGTGCTAACAGATGCGATGTGGAGCATGTGGAGGCTTTGGTCACATGAAGACCAACAAGCACTGTCCGAAGTACATTGCCAGGGACAATCCACCCGTACGTTACTGCCAGGGACTCTTGTACATGTATTTGCTAGCTGTGTGTGTGTCAGTGTGTGCGTGCGCATGTGTGTGTGCATGTGTGTGTGCACGCGTGCATGTGTGTGTATGTGTGTGTGCACGTTTGTGTGTGGGGGAGGGGGGGGGGGGGGGGGGGAGGGCGGTGCTGCTGTTTCCCATGCCTTTGAAAATTGAAAAACGTTAACTTGTTCTCTGTTCCCGAAGGAAGTCACGGTGGCCGCAAACGCTTGTCACCGCTTGTTTGCAAGAGCAACTGAGCTATTCAGGTGTGTGTGTGTGTGTGTGTGTGTGTGCGCGCTCGTGTGTGTGTGTGTGTGTGTGTGTGTGTGTGTGTGTGTGTGTGTATGTTTGTAGAGTGTATTAGCGGAAGAACCTGATGTTCCAGAGGAAGCTCCTGCACTCCCGCAGGATCACTTGGTGAAGGTCGAAGGCACCAAAGTTTCGTTTGATCGATCTGTTCTGGAACAGTAAGACAACATTCTCTTTCCTTGTGTGTGTGTGTGTGTGTGTGTGTGTGTGTGTGTGTGTGTGTGTCCCATATGGTGCAGTGGTATGTGCAGCGATTTCCAATCGATAGGTTGCGGGTTCGATTCCCGACGATTATGGTCACACACGTCTTTCTTCTCTTTCTCAGACTCTTCCGGACTTTTCTTTCATTCTCCTGGGTGGTTACCAACAGCCAGTGTATGCCGGAGTATGTGGTGTGGTGTGTGTGTAGAAAAGAAAAAAAAAAGAGAAAAAAATGGAAAAATGAAAAATAGGGATTCACTGGCCAGAAAAAGTCACTTCAAACAGCTGTGTGGTGGATACCAGGCTAAAAATAGTGGCGGTCAATTCATCACCCTTGCAAGCTGTTGAATGGTGTAATCCCAGCACAAGTTGCTATGTCTAACATAGCTGTTCGCTATCATCGCTCCCGCGATGGGCATGTCTGAGGTCTGAGGTCTGAGGTGTGTGTGTGTGTGTGTGTGTGTGTGTGTCTTTCTCTCTCTCTCTCTCTCTCTCTCTCTCTCTCTCTCTCTCTCTCTCTCTCTCTCTCTCTCTCTCTCTCTCTCTCTCTCTCTCTCTCTCTCTCTCTCTCTCTCCCAATCACCTGCTCTTTGCTCTCCTTGAAAAATCACACATTGGGCTCCACACCGGTCTTGCATGGACTTGCCCTTGCATGCAGTACAGTGTAATTTTCTAAAGTCTCTGAATGCACAGCAGTATCTTTGCACAATGGTAATGTGGTGACTGTTGCCCTCTGTAGTCAAGTCCTCTCCTTTGTAGGGCAGAGGAAGTGGATACCGAAGGCTGTGTGCATTGTCAAACTTTGTGTGTGTGTGTGCACGCACGTGTGTGTGTGTGTGTGTGTGCGTGTGTGTGTTTGTTCTGAACAGGTCGAATCGCATGCGCCAGGACGCCTTGCGTGTACGGATTCCGCGAGAGCTAAGTATGTTGTACATGTTCAACTGTTCATAGTACGCTTGATTAGCCTTGAGAACCCTTGAAATAATATTATACTGCCCCAGAAAATCCCCTCGCCCCCCCCCCCCCCCACCAGGCGCGTACGCAGGGGGGTTCCCGTTGCCCGGAAACCCCCCAAATGTTCCAAACAAGCAACGATCTCGGCAATTTCAAAGCGCCGAGTTCGCCTTGAGTATCGAGAATTTGAGACTTTTCGTCACGCTGACTTGCTCAAATTTCCACGGGTTTCAGTTGTAATATTCTGTAGAGTACACAGCGAAAAAATCGAAACTCTGCGATTGATGAAAACGAAAATTCAAAATACAGTGAAATCTGTCTAAGGCGACCATTCAAGGGACTCCTTCCTTCAAAATTGGTCTCTGTGTACAGGTGCTCTCCGTATCCAGGGTCATTTGACTGAAATTGACATTCTCTGTCCACCCTGCACTCACTCGTTGCGCACACATCCGCACACTCACTCATACGTGTACACCACTATTGAACACGTGAACATTGCCAGTGGGGGCCACCACAGCACAAATACACAAAGTCGTCTTTCTGAAAAAGCTTCACTGCCATCCTGATATCATCCAATTTAAACCTGAATTTTGCCAAACATTCATCCACTTGCCTCAAGTCTAAAATCAGTCTCAGCTTCCTAGCACCTTCCACCACTCCCAGCGGGCTAACACAATTTAACTCAGATTCGTTTACTTTCATCGCACTCCCGCAGTCTACCAGCCCCTTCACTGCCTCATCAACAAAATTGTACATGCTTCCAACAGCTTTTCTGATTCCTTAAAAAACCAGACGGAGGGTCTGTCACAAACGGCAACGCATAACCGACCTCCAAAATACTAATAATCCAAGGTGAAGCCCCCATCTCCCTCCAAAACGGTATGCACCGCTTCAATCTCCCATGCATCACAGTTTCACCCTCTGCCCAGATTTCCCCTTCCCTTTCCGCACCAGATCCGCTTTCACCCACAACATCTGAATAAGTTTGAACACTCCTTTCATCATCCTCATCCTCCTCATCATCATCATCAACATGCACATCAAACTTATCTTGTTCATCGTGGCTGCTGTTGCTGCTGCACCGGGAATGACCTGGCAGGTGCTGGGCCTGGGGCAGGCTGCGTGCAGTCCCGCTGCACGTGCCCCTTCCCTCCGCACCGCCAACAGGCCAGCTCCTTGAACGGGGCGCCGAATCCGGGTGGCTTCGGTGCGGCCGGCATGGTCTGGGCTCGAGCAGCCGCTCCGAGCCCGACCCCGGCTGGGCGGCCTCCTGGAAAGGGCTTGCCACTGCTCCTCTTCCCCTCCTTGGCCTCCGCCCTGGCCCTCCTCATCCTCCGCTCATCGTCCGTATCGGACCCACACTCCATTTTTCCGTCATATATGTTTGCGGCCGACCACCCTTCGGCGTCCGCAAACAGCAATAGCTTGACGCGCGCCGCTGGAGGACGCTCTCACCTTCCTCGATGTTTCTGGCGATGTCTTTCTCGCCTCGACGCTCCGCCTTCTGCCTTGCCTTGGCTAGAGGCTCCAACGCCTTACTGATCACGCAGAACTGCTCCTCGTGGGCCTTGGCCTTCCAACTTCTCTTTCTTGCCGCCGCCATCCTCTCGTCCTGTCTCTCCCTCTTCACCTGCTTACTTTCCTTGCTCTTCTTGCTGTTTCTCCTCTTGCTACTTCTACTCCTGCCACTTCTCCTGCTCCTCTCTGACTCACTCTCACTCTCACTGTCACTTCTCCAACTTCCTCTCCAATGTCTCCAATCTCGCAGCCATCTCTCTCATCCTCCTACTCTCCTCAACATACCCTTCACTCTCACTACCACTACCACTCGGCGGCACACTTCTTGACCTCGACATTCTTTTCACAAACCAAAACTTTCAAATTAAATAATTCACAACTCTCACTCAACTCTCCGCACAAAGACAAAAGAGGCCGACCCTGCACTCGTCACCTCCTTTTATCCCACACCGTGCTCCCTCGTACCCGTTCCCGGGTGGACAGAGAACACTACTTCTCTGCTAATTCTTATACTGTGACGTCAACCGCAGAGAAGTGACATATCCTTCGTCCTGGTGGTAGTGGTTCCCTTGGACAGTTGGTTGCCTTATCAGAGTGATCGCCTTGACAGGTTTTACTGTAGTTGGAGCAAGATGCGTTTGGGCAAATTTGGCAAGTTTGGGGCATTTTTCGCACCGTCACTGCACTCTATAGCGCTGGATATACAGATGTACCATGTTTACACTGTCCTGGCTATCATGGCTGGCCTCATTCTCTTCCTCTCTCGGATACCGTTCCACTTCTAGGAAGCACAAGATTGAGCACGGGGTAGAACTGAAGTTATGATCTAAGGAACACGAAAAATGCAGAATTTTGAAAATTTCCTAGGGCATTCCTGAAAGGGTTAAAACTCATCATTTGTGATTCGGTTGGAAACCCCCCTAGAGGTGACCCTGCGTACGCGCCTACCCCCCCCCCCCCCCCCAACCCTCTGACTTTGTTGAGTTGGGTTGGGTTGAACATATGCAGTCAAATGTTTACAAGGTCTGAAAATTGTGTCGTTAGTTGTTATAACGGATGTTGTTAATCACAAGGTTGACTATAGCTAGTGTGATATACGTAATTCATACTTGTGTTGCGTTGCGTTTGTTAACACGCTCTCGTCTGTCCACGTGTGTCCTTACACGTCCAGTTCGTCGACGGCGTCGCACCACCTCGGAACACTGCGACTACCTGCAGAGACATGCTCGTACTAATCACCGGCGACGAACTAACCCTCACGTCGACATGGGCAACATTCTGGAAAAGAACGTCGTGGAGAAGATGAGGCAGTTGCCGGATGTAAGATGCCAGAATCTAACTGCTTTTTGTTCTTTTTTTATTGCTGCTGTTGTCTGTTGCTGCTGCTGCTGCTGTCATAGGCCACATTTAGTTATAATCAGACCTCAGTGTGCTTTCTTACTGTGCTAACAGCACAATGATAGTCACTGGGCTAGGCACAGGATGAACTGGCAGGGGTGACCGAACGTGTATCGTGCCTGTGGTGTGGTCAGCCAACGATGATACCGTTGAGCAGGTTGAGGCAGGGGTGGGGCGTTTTGCGGATGGGTCAGCCTTGTTTTGAAACTCAGTGAATCTCTCAAGTGGGTGGCCAATTGTTGTGCTTCTTGCTGTATTGTGTGTGTGTTTGTGTGTGTGTGTGTGTGTGTGTTGTTTTGCACGTGCAGTCCTACCCGTTCCACACCGCAGTTCCAGCCAAGCAAGCTCCCGACTACTACACCATTGTCAAGGAGCCCATGCATTTACAGCTCATGAAAGAGGTAAGCATGTCGCACACACATGCATGCACACACCATGTACCACACGCACACACACACACACACACACACACACACACACACACACACACACACACACACACACACACACGTACGCGCACACGCACACGCACATACACACGCACATACACTTGCGTATAGGCATATTGTAAGAGTGCAGAGCCTAACGGCAGGATGAGTGTATGATGATGTGTTGACACTATTGATGATACATATCCAGGGTACATGGGTGTGTACACCATCAAGTGTTTTTCTTGCCACAAGTCCATGATGGGATTTGATTTTTGTTGTGTGTACTATGCAGAACATCAGAGATCGCTTGTATCGTTCTCGCGAGGAGTTCATGAATCATGTCGACTTGATGGTCCGCAACAGTGTCCTCTACAACGGTGTGTGTGTGTGTGTGTCTCTCTCTCTCTCTCTCTCTCTCTCTCTCTCTCTCTCTCTCTCTCTCTCTCTCTCTCTCTCTCTCTCTCTCTCTCTCTCTCTCTCTCTCTCTCTCTCCCTCTCGCTCTCCCTGTCTCCCTCCTTCTCTCCCTCTCTCTCTCCCTCCCTCTCTCTCTCTCTCTCTCTCTCTCTCTCTCTCTCTCTCTCTCTCTCTCTCTCTCTCTTCTCTTTCTCTTTCTCTTTGTCTCTCTCTCTCCATTTATTTCCCCGTACACATGGTAACATTTTCTTATCGTCCTCAAACTCCAACGCAGCCACTTACGCATTTAAGAAAATTCACTCCTCAACTCCAAAGCGGTCTCTTTATTGCGAATCAAATTAACTTCAAAAAGTATAACAGCAAATCCAGACCCGCAAATTTGGTGTAATATCTATGTGAATTGTAGTAAAGGGACCGTTTTGGAGTTGAGGAGTGATGTTTCATATCTGTACACATGGTAATCGTGTGTTTTGGTGTGTTGTGTCTCTTACTCTCCATCTTCCCTTACAGGTAACAACAGCCCTCTGACTCAGATTGCAGAGAGCATGCGCCAGATTGCCGTTGCTGAGATAGCCAAGGTAACTATCCTGTGGCTGTGTGCCTGTGTGTGTGTGTGTGTGTGTGTGTGTGTGTGTGTGTGTGTGTGTGTGTGTGTGTGTGTGTGTGTGTGTGTGTGCGTGCATGCGTGTGTGCCTGTGTGTGTGCCTGTGTGTGTGCCTGTGTGTGTGCCTCTGTGTGGCTGTGTGCCTGTGTGCCTGTGTTTGCATACTGCTTCTCTTTTGTGCACAGCTAGCTGTCTAATAAATACTTCTTGGCACGTAGTGTGTGGGGAGGGGGGCGTGTGTGTGTGTGCACGCATGCGCGTGTGTGTGTGCATGTGTGTGTGCGTGTGCGCTGAGGGCGGTCACTTCCATCACCTTGATGAACGTCGAACACGACTCTTACTTTGGTCGTGCTCTTGTCTTGATGGACGATCGGGAAGTGCGGCAGTAACCACTGGTCAGATTTGTCGGCCAGTGCCTCCGCGTCCGGCACCTGGCGGTTGTAACCCTTGCTGAGGTGTGAGGACATGACACCGTTGTATGCCGTGCGAATCTCAGGCTTCGACGATAGCATCTTCTCGAGGTTTGCCAACCGACGCGCTGCCATTGCGCGATTGCTCTGGACGATGGGGCCACCTGGGTCGGTCCAGGGGATGCCGACCTCGTACCGTTGTCCATCGAAGCCTGCAGTGAACCACGCCTGAGTGATTGACAAGCAAGCTGGCAACAGGCACCATCACGTCATCATGGCCTCACCATTGACTAATAGCCTGATAGCGGAGTCCTGGATCGGTGCCGCTTAGCCCCTTCACCATCCCGGAAGACGAGCGCCAACACCTCTTACGCCACAACTGTATTCGTCTGGAAAATAGCCGACTTTCATTATGCTTATCTCACATGCTGTGTTACGGTGGCACACAACGCAGCACTCCCATCTCTGGCACACAACGCAGCACACCCATCTCTGGCACACAACGCAGCACTCCCATCTCTGGCACACAACGCAGCACTCCCATCTCTGGCACACAACGCAGCACTCCCATCTCCGGCACACAACGCAGCACTCCCATCTCTGGCACACAACGCAGCACACCCATACGCACATAAGACCATGTAAGACACCGGACCGAACAGAACAATAAGACCAGAGACAACAGCGGGTGAAAATAATAAGCGCATCAGCTTTCGCAACATATACGTCTTGTTTGGATCGCAATGGCAAGGAAAGAGAGAGATCGCGACGGCAAGGGGAGAGAGAGCTTGAGAGCTACTCGAACCTGCTTGGTACAACTGGTCCCCGCACGACACACCTCTTCCACAATTTCTACTTCA